GCTGAACCGATCCTCAGACACAGTCCGTGGCTTAGGGCCTCCGACTTCGGGGCCCTAGGAGGAAGGGGAGGTGAGCAGTCACCTAAGAGGGGGGTAGGGGGAGGAAAAAAGTAGATGGCAAAATTAGGGAGGGGGTCCCTGCCTTCAGCTCCTCCGGCTGCTTTTCTTGGGCGCCTGTTTTCCCTGACTCAGGACTAACCACTGTGTTGTTTGTGACTGTTGTATTTTCTTGCAGACATCCCCTCTTCCCTCTCTTAGCACTGATTTTTGAGAAATGTGAATTAGCTACTTGTACCCCCCGCGAGCCGGGGGTGGCGGGCGGGGACGTCTGCTCGTCAGAGTCATTCAATGAAGATATAGCCGTGTTCGCCAAACAGGTCAGCAAAATAAATGTTTAAAAAGTAAAAGAAAAAAGGTGGGGACCTTCCTCCCCCCACCCGGCACATTTGCAAGAGTATCCAGCAAATAGTCCACCCTAAGCCATGCCTGTTACAACTACCCTGAGATTTTCCTCCAATATGGGTGTCTGTTTGTGGGCGACTCAAAATCGCCCATATTCTTTAAGGCTTCATAACCTCACACAGAAAGCTCCCTCTATAAAATAAAATCACAAACACCACGCACTGGAGCTGCCTTGGACTTGGCCAGCTGGGCAGCGTCCTCTAGAAGAGTAGCTGCTGGTAGAAGTCACCCTGAGCTCTAGGCTTGTTTTCGGCTTATTTGATCCACGTTGAAGTGTTTCTGCGCGGGACGAACTCGGTGACACCGAGTCCCTCCCGGCGGTTACATCCTGCCCCCGACAGTGTAATGAGGCAAGAAACTAGAAAGGCGACCAGATTTCAAATGTTTCTTTCTCCCCCCTCTCCCTTCCCTTCTCACTTCTATTTAGATTCGCGCAGAAAAACCTCTATTTTCTTCTAATCCAGAACTGGATAACTTGGTAAGAGCGGACCCTTTACTCCCCTCCCCCATCACCCCTCCCCCTCAGCCCCCCAGCTTTGCTTTGAGACCCCTGAGGTTTCTAGACAGGTCTTCCCGTCGTTGCATGTCGGCTGCAAATGTTTCCGTCCACGGACAAGTAGTCCGAGACAAGATCCCCGGGAAATAAATTTATCTGGAGAGGGGCCGGGCGAGCGGCGCGGGAAACGCGAGCTTTTGTTTTTTATGACAGCCGGGCAGCGCAGCTCTAATCAGAGAGGGGATTTATCTCCGGGCCTGTCAGCGTGTGAGCTTAAACTTTTCGGACTAACCAGCCTTCAGAGTCGCGTCACGAGGGCAGCGACCGGGCCAGAACCCCCTAACCACCAGTTTGCCTGAGAGGTGTGCGGAAGGCAGCAGAAAGTTCGCAGTGCGAAAAGCCACAATTTGGGCACTATTGGACTATTTTCTGTGCACACCTTCCAAAGAAGCATCTAGTCCCGGGATGTGGCCCTCTGGGGGTGCAGTTGGGGCAGTGGGTCTGAGAAAGGGAAGAGAACCATGGGGAAGAGAGTGTTTATGATCCCTACTTAGATGCTTTGTTGTTGTTTTAGCTATTGTTTTTTCTCCTTAAGAAATAGAAACCTCTAGATGGTACCCAGTCGCTGCTATTAAGTTTTAGTGTTATTGCCATAAATCAAAATAACTCTATTTACTGGGGGGATGGGGTGGGCTGGAGATGCTAGAGCTGTGACAGCCAATTTTCTGCAAACTAGGAATGGGGCGCTCATTCTTTTTGTATCTTTGCAGATGATTCAAGCCATACAAGTATTAAGGTTTCATCTGTTGGAATTAGAGAAGGTAATTTCTCTAGCCTCTTTTGCTTTTGCTCCCTCACCCCCAAATACACAGGGTGGGGGGAGGGTTCTGAATGGCTGAAGTTCAGGCTTCTGAGACATTTGCATAAATGTCTTTCTTTCTGGTAATTACTGTCAAGGCCAATCTTAGTGTCCATTTCTCTTTGCAGTTTAATTACAATTTCAGCCACTAAAACGGGGATCACAAACGCCCTAGCCTTGTATTCATTCTTAATACCTTGCTGGCTTGGTATAAATAGTTGCAATTCTGTGCATCCCGGGAGATATTTAGGATGCTGTTGTGAGTTGCTTCACAGGTTATACCTTTGTGTCCTCTTTTTCTCTTCTGTCTCTTCTTTGCTACCTCTGGTGTGTGTTTGGGGTGGGGGCAGTTTTGTTTAGTTTTAGTGAGTTTCTGGAAGACAGTCTGAGAGCAGCAGCAGGTCAGACACAGAGGAGAGGCGGATGGGGGAGGAGGAGATCGGACAGGGAGGAGGTGGTAGGGAAGATACATTAAACCGTTTTGCAGAGACAAAGCAGAGTTGATAATCATGTCAATTCTTTGAATCTGCGAATCCTGCATACACCCCACCTTCACACTCAAGAAAGGGTGTGGGGTAACACGACTTTGCTAGTTAGTTGTTCTATAAATCTCAGCAATAAAAACTTAATGCATTGTAATTCAAACTAACATTAAATTGCAAGCACGCTTGGGTTTCTTGGTGAATTTTTGCATCTCAGTGATGCCTGGGACCCGTAAGAGACCACTCCACTTACAACTAAATATTTTGAAGTAGTCTTTTTCTTTAAAAATAATCAATTTGATACATTTTTGTGGCTACAGGTTTTTTTTACAATATAATCAGTACTAGTAATTTAATTTCCTTCTCTTTTTTTAAAGAAGTATCCTAAAATATGCTTCTTATGGATAGAAACCCTAATTACATATGTTTTGGGGACTTGGGTTGTCAGGCATATATCCTATGCCACCCATAGTTCTGGTCTTTTGGAGACTATATATCTATATATCTATCTATCTATCTATCTATCTATCTATATATATATATATATATATACATGCGTTTTTCTTAGACGCATTGGAAAAGGACCTATGATAAAGTAACTGGATGAAATTAAATAGTGTACCTTAAATGTCACCCACGCAGGTCACCTCTCTAATGGCCACAGCCCCGGGAGCAGATGAATTTAACACGGGTGTTGAATATGTTGTAGCCTGTGAATCATCTTGTCACTGTCAATTTTCTGGGATATCTCTATTTTGCAAGAAAAGAAAGTTATTCCTAATTCTGGTTGCATCTGGGGGTCTCTGGAGGACAATTGCCCTGTGTTTCCCCTATTTGGAAGTTTGGATCTCACAAGGGAGGTGGATTGCACTTGTCAATGTCATTTATGCACTTCTGATTATATTTCCATTCTTTTTTATTTCTGTCATAATGTAGGTACACGAATTATGTGACAATTTCTGCCACCGGTATATTAGCTGTTTGAAAGGGAAAATGCCTATCGATTTGGTGATAGACGATAGAGAAGGAGGATCAAAATCAGACAGTGAAGATATAACAAGATCAGCAAATCTAACAGACCAGGTATGTGCTTTTCAATTTCAACATCCCTGGGAAAAAAAAAAAAATCTGTATGCATATTGCTTGCTGGGTCACTACCACCTCCTTTTATTATTTGCATATGATTAAGTCCCTTTTAGATACATTTCCATCGAAATGAAAATTTTTGAATAATGTGGCTATTATTGCTTCATTAAGGCTGGCTCTGGGATTCGACCTGGAGAGATGAGCTTGTAAAAGCTTTGCCTGCAAACTTGACCTGTTTCTTGTCGCTTTTAATTTTTGTCTTTATTTTATTTACCCTCTATAATAATGGGAGTGTTAACTGCCAGTGACCGCCTCTGATTGTAGGGCTTTGTTCTGGAGCATTTTCCCCCCGCTTCTATCTTGAAGAAAAGAAAAGTGTAGGGTCTGCTTATTTCTTATTTTATTAGGAATAAACCCAAGATAGGTGGTCTAAGAAAGACAGCGAGGGTTTGAAATCTAGCAAATGCTGGCTATTTTCTCCCTGTCTATACGGTTCATTAGCCTGTCTTGTCAGTTTTCCTCGGCCGAACGCTTCTAGACCTCACTGAACATTGCTTTGTGCAGTGCTCGCTGCAAGCTCGCCCATTTTATCGTACTTCATAGAAAAAATAAGACCAGGCCGAGGGTATAAAAACAGATAAATATGGACTTTTCTCTTCTTCTTTTCCACTCATCCTCCAGTTGGTACGTGCTCTGGGCCCTCTGGGTTGGCAGCTTTTGGAGGTGTCAGCATCAAGGGCACCTCGGCGACTCCCTCGGTGTGGCGGGTGGGGGACCTCGCGCCACCCTGGCTGGCTCTCAGCTGCAGGCCTTTGCTTGCTTCTTCCTTGCTCTCCATCCTTCCTCCAGGCTCTTCTTCCGCCGCTTTGCTAAGTCGGGACTACTTTTATTCGGACTTGCTGAGGAGGAGGGAAGTTCACCCCCTTTCTCACCCCAACATCACTATTTGCTCCCAGTCTCTCTCTCTGTCGAGTCGCTGTGTCTCTGGATTGGTCCGAAAGAGTTGCAAAAATGCCTTGAAAGTGAGGAGAGGGTGGGATAAAACAGGGCTCAGGACAGCTCTCCGTTGCGAATTGTTGCAACGTGTCTAGAGATTTGGGTTACGAGCCTCTCCGCCTTTCCATATATAAGTGAAGGCCCAGAGTTGTTTCTCTCTTTGACTTGGCACGTGAGCCCGTCTTGGGGGAGAGATCAGCCTGCCTTTGTTAAGCCAAAGGGCAGCCAGTCATGCAGCTTTCCTCTCCAAGCTCTGCCACATCACTGTTGACCAGCAGCTATTTTGCCATATCCTTGCTCGAGTGCCCTACTTCTCTGTCTTGGTGTCATCTTAAAGTTTTCTTCTCTTAACGTCACCCCCTTAAAATAAATTCCCCGTTTGAATTTCTCTGGGGAACCCCACGACAGAGGCTGAATCCTCCTTTCCCCACGAAAAGTGGAGGGCGGGCAGAACTGAGCTTTAAAAGCGGCAGCGCGCGGCGTCCCAACTATTATTTGCCAAGTTGCAAACTTTCGGCAGTGTAGACGAGTGTCCAGAACAGGCAGCCTGCGCAATCCTGGCGCGGCCTGCCGAGGTGAGAAATCTGCAGGCGGCTGCTGGCCCGGCCTGGCCCGGGCCCCGCGGGCCGCCAGCCCTCGCCCCGGAGCTGTAAGTGCAGATTCCGCTGAGCAACCCTCGGGTAGCTGCTGTTGAATAAAAATTGTAATCCAACAAGCCTAACTAGAAAATGGGATTCTAAAAGCTCCGGAGTGCTGGGTACATAAAGCTATTTGAGCAAATTACAAGAATCGCTTAGGGGCATGAATGAAATCAACACTTTAATTGCCTCCAAAATGAAGATTTATACCCCATTTTCTCAACGAATCATTATTTTATCAAAGTCAAAGATAAAGGACCAAAGTTATGGGGTATTTTTTTTGGGGGGGGGGGAGATGCAAAACTGATATAACATCGTTGAGTTCTTCCACCTACTCCTTCGGTAAACTTTGTTACCCAATTGCCTTAATTTGAGCTGCAGATTGGTAGGCATTTCTATTGGATAAAAATAGGCATTTTATTCTCCACCCCGACCTATAAAATGAGAAGCCTGCCTCCCACCCCCGCCGCCTGTGAGGGGGCTTCGCAGCTTTGCTGAGCTGGTGGCGCTGTTGGCCTGTGCGCGTGGGCTTGCTCGCGTGACCCCTCGGGCTCACCTAGGTCACAGCTGGTCGGAGGGCAACAAACCCAAGTTTGTACTTTCTAATTGACCGCTTCCCTAGAGCCAGGAGTGAACGCACCTGGGCTCCCTTTCGAGCTGGGAGTGCAGAGCGCGGGGCGCGAGCGGGACTGTGTCTCGGACGCGGAGTGGAATCCCCTGTTCTGGGAAGTGGGGCGCGAAGGACAAGGTACTAGGGCCTCCCCATGGGCGCCAGTTCTGCTCGAGGATGCCCAGGGACGCTGGATCCCTAGTGCGGTGCCCTGGGGGCTAGGTCCAGGAAGGACGGCCTCGCCACCTGTCTGCGAATGCGGCCCAGCCAGTTTGAGCCTCGGCGTAGGGTGCGCTCTGAGACTGGATGCTTCAGGTGTGGTGCGAGCGCTGGGCCTCGTTAGCTCATTAACCCCTCTGTCTCTAGGGCCTGCTGGCGGCACGGTTTATTTTATTTTATTTTTTTCCTCGGAGGGCGCGAAGGCTGCCATCCGCGCAGGGACCTGAGATCGACGACTTTGATAGCAGCGGGTTTCCCGGAGGGCTAAGTCGCGGAAATACACTTGGCCTTGTAGTGCTGTTGGTTTTCTGTTTGTTTGTTTGTTTGTTGATTTGAGTTTTAAAATCACATTAAGACGTCAGTAAAAGCTGTAATCCTGCCCCCGCCCCACCAACTCCCACTCCCAGACCCTGAAGTCGTCCGTGCGGGCGCAGCCCTCCTGGGCGCCCTCTCTCGACCGCCACGCTCCCCACCTCTGCACCGACGCCCCGACGCCTGATATCCGGGGGCGCCGGGGGGCCCCGGGGGCTTCCGGGCCTTGGCGTGTGGCGAGGCAAAGGGTGAGACCCCGGGAGCGGGCTCAAAGGGGGACCCAAGTTGGGGGCGTCGAGGCGAGGGTTGAGCCTGGTTAGCGGTGGAGGCCCCGGGGGCTTCCGGGCCTCGGCGTGTGGCGAGGCAAAGGGTGAGACCCGGGAGCGGGCTCAAAGGGGGACCCAAGTTGGAGGCGTCGAGGCGAGGGTTGAGCCTGGTTAGCGGTGGAGAAGGACGCAGGTCTGAGTGGGAGCCGAGGCGCGTGCTTGGGGGGCCCAGGGTGGAACTGGGGACACCCAGAGAGGTTAGGCGGGGAAGAGTTCTGCCGCCCAGACGCTAGACTCCAGGCGCTGCGCTCCAGGAAGGAGCCGTCGAATGAAGCCGTCCTTCCGAGAGGGCTGTTTGTTGCTCGCCACTCCTTGAACCTAAGCATTTTTCACTCCAAGAACCAGGCGTGAGAGAAAGGAGAGCGGAGCGAAGAGTCTTCGGGTCCCTAAGGCCACCTTCCGAGTGGCTAGGCTTGCTCTCCGCGAGCGGGGACTAGCTGGGCCTGTTCTCGGGCGCCAGCCCCAGTTCTCCTACAAGCAGCGAGGAGGCAAAGAAATGGTCCCTTTGGATTACATTTTTTATTCAACAGCAGCTCTCCGGGGGGTCCTTGGCTGAATTTGCATTAACGGCTCTTGGGAGAGAACTGGCGGGCTGCACAGGGCGCCCTGTTGCATGTTAATCCAGATTTGTCTCTGACATCTGGGGAGAAGTAATGTGGCTCTTGGAGATGGAACCAGAAAGCCACGCTCGCCAGCCAGGTTAAACGCCAAGTGCTGGTGCACTCCCAGGGGACGGAGAGGACGGCTGCCGGGGCTGTGCTGTGCGGCCCAGCCTGTAGAGCATCAGGCCTTCAGGCCTCGGGGATTCGGGGCAGACCTGGGCCAATGAGCTTTAGTTCCCAATGGGCCAGGGAACCCTGGTGGCGATTGTTTTATTTTAAAAGTCCGGAATATTGTTTCCAAGGCATAGTTTGAGTTAAAAAAATCTTAAAACTGAACTTATACTTGACTGAAAACCCCTCTTCACCCCTGTAAAGTGGGGTGGGGATGCAAGTAAGGGAGATTTAAGTTTTCTTGTTTTGGAGAGGTGTTATGGCCAGGAACAGGATGGGAGGGCAAGGAACTGCTAATGTCCTTGATGAATCTGACCGGCTGTTTTAGAAAAAAATAGATAAGGCCATCGGATATTTACTAATACAGGGAATGCAGACAATTTATTTTCATCTAATGAGAAAACTGGACAGAAACATCAGGAAACAGGAAAATGGTCCCATAGGTAGTTTGTTTCTAAATGCTTATTTAAATTGTAAATACTTCATAGGGTCCCACTTGATGCCTTAATCCTGGAACCTGTCAGTCCACAGGCCTTGCAAGCCACGGGGGGTCTTAGAATCACCTACCTTTCCTTTTGATTGTTGTTGTGGGTCATGTGGTGTACTCTTAATTTCTTTTTTGAAATATGTCAAAGGGAAATTATGGCAAGATTCTCTTTAATGATTAAATAATAAGGTGTTGACTGCTTGTCACTACATTGGCTAATTAGGATGTTCATTCTAGGCTCTTTATTGCTTAGTATCCTTCGAATTAAAAGTTAGTTGTTTACCAGGTGTGTTTTTATTGTTACTTTCTGATTGGCTTTTAGTGTGTATTTATGTGTGAATTTCTGAGTAGGGTTGTATTGATTCTTAATAGGGGCTCTTAAAAATATTTTAGAAAAACAAGAAGTACAGAGTATATGCAGATAGGTTGAGATCAATTACATTGTTAAATGTCTTGAAGTCTAAATTCTTAAACTACAAAAGTTATTCCCTTTTCAGTTTCCTCTCTCTCTCTCTCTCTCTCTCTCTCTCTCTCTCACACACACACACACACACACACACACACACACACACACACACACTCTGTCTTAGTCCCCAGTGCAAGTTTCATGGGTAATGAAAAGCAGTGATACTAATG